AAAATGGAGGATATTATGTTAACAATTAGAGGAGAATTTTGTCATTTTACCAAGTAAAATATTTTACATTTTGTTATCTGTTTTTATCATTGGTCAAAGGCCATTTAACCAAATACACTGTTTAGGGAGGTTATATGGCCAAATTCCCCTTCTTTTATTCTAGTTTTGCCCTGGAGGTATTGACTAAGTATTATGTGAAAGAATGTTGGCGTTGACTTTTTGGAGGACAACAATACTATTTTTTTTTTGTTTGAACTTGAACACTTATCAAAGCTTCACGAATTTGTATGCCAAAGGAATATGACTTGCTCTAATATCAAATTCACATAGAACACAATTGTCAAGACTATTACAATGCAAAATAGGATGATAACATGACGATACTAGGTAGTATATATATTATTATGAGAGAAATTGATCATTGAAATGATAATTGACAATACAACAAAATTACAAGCCATCCTTTCGTTTTCCATATTGGAATTCTTAAAAGAAGTCTATAGAATCATATGGGCGCTTCTCCATATTTTGACTCTCATATTAGGAATCATGCCAGGGTGTACTAGTAATTGTTTGTTTAGAAAGATAAATATTTGTAGGGATACAACAACGTCTTGGACTTGAATACGCTAGGTACTTGAGAATTTTTTGAGCTCTAGCAGATGTCACAAAACTATTTTTAAAGAGAATCTTTTTTCATCTAGAGGGGATATTTGTTTATTCAATATCAGACCATCCGTAATAGTCATCTCTCTTTTTATAGGACAAAAAACAAGAACTTCTAATAAATTAAAACCTTATATAAACATATTTTAAATCAAAATCTACTTTATAATCTTATCAAACTCCTGTCCTTATTTTTATATTCATTCCCCATCAATTGTATTTCTTGATTTCACCGTATATCTCATTTGATCTTATTCAGCACGTAGGTTTAGAAATTTCAGTTTTGGTGTGTGAAACGAGATGCACATCTGCTTTTATGGTCGCAGACCTCATTTAAATGCTTCTGATGGCCCTAAGCTGTTATTAGTTTTATTTTCCAGTTTAAATGGAAATTAAAGAAAGAATTTTGCTTGGTGTACAGATGGGGTTCAACAAAACCACCACACACACGCACATGGTCAGGGGGCTGGGGGGGCTCGGGTAATTTTTTTATTGCGGGGACCCACCTTATGTGAGTGTCTGTGGGGTTCAGTTGAACCCCATCTGTACACCCAAGCAAAAACCATTAAAAAATACTTAGGCGTAAAAGAAAGGCATTGAGAAATAGTATCTTCTGCTTCAAATCTCAATTGTGCCATTAATCTTGTTTTTAGGTGTATGTTCTCGTTGGTGGATTGATTCATGTTAGCATACTCAAACATTAATAGAATTTATCCCGTGCATCAATTTTACGCAAAGTTCTGCCCTTATTGTTGATTTTCATGTCAAGCAGTAGTTGAATTCTAGTATGAGTTGATTATTAATGCTCATTTTCACTTCGGTTCTAGTTTTTGGCTCTTTCGTGATGCTTCTCTGTAGCAGCAGGTCATTGTGTATTCATATTCTTCTCTGTAGCAGAAGTCTCCATAATTTTGGACAGTGAAGATGGAGTGTTGAGCATGTTTAAATTTTGGACTCGGTTTTTAATCCATTGTTCTTCTCTATCTGAGTTTTGACATAATGTATGAAGACAATCATCTTGACAACATTGGGGTTTCTCCTGATTCACATACGAGATTGTTCTCATCATCTACAACATGAAAACCTTTGACAGAAATTTTTATTGTTTGCCTTTATTGATATTCATCTTACTTTAAAGTTGTGAGCTCTTGATCTCAGAAGAGT